TGCCTAAATGCACTGAGTTGCCGCCATGTGATTGGCTGATTAGAAATTAAGTGTTAACGAACAGTTGGACAGGTGTACCTAATAAAGTTGCCGGTGAGTGTATATCACCATTTAATATATATTAGTTCGAAAGCTATGCTATGTCGTCCTAAATGCAGAACTTGAGTTTTTCCACAACTCAGACTAAAACCTATTAGGAGCTTCTGGCTCCTAATCTTTTTATTCTTTATAACAATCTCTAAATCCCTTGTGTAATTTTGAAAAAGCATATATGGTGCTATGGTAATTAGTAATAGCTTCTTAATGATTTAATCCTTGTTGCACATGTGTTTCTTTAAGGGATAAAAACTTGAAGGGTTGCATCCACCTTTTAAATAAATCCTTATGTGAATGTTTATTTTTTTTAAATCAAAGCTCAAGTTTACAAATAATTGCAACACATGTTTGAAGAATGTTTATTATGTTACTTTGCTGATTGTAACTCATCCACACACATTCTTATAGTGTTACTGTGTGCTGTCGGTTTACTGTGAGTGTTGCTCATCTATTGTACATTAAAACACTTGTATCAGCTTCACAATTTAATGTGTATTCAGAGGAGCCTGGTCAATTTCAGCAGTTGAATCACTTTATCAGGCAAAGCTATCTATAAATGCTTCCAAAAATTATTCTAAAACTGTGTCAGAGGCAACCCCCCTGGAAAAATATAGCTCTGTGCACACGTGATTGTTTCTTTGTGTGGAAATTACATGAGTACAGAGAACAGAGCCAGTGGCCAAAGTTCACGCAAAGTCAGATAAGATTAGCAGCCAATACATGTGTGTACACATACTAACAAACACATCGATAAATGTTGTTAACATGAGCCTGTATGGGCTTTGCCATCAGAGCTCCTGGTAAACATGATGCCAAAAAACAAAACAAAAAAACAACAACAAAAAAAAAACTGGCATTCCTTATCAGATTACTACTGAGCCCTGAGAGACCATTCACACAAACCCACACACAAAAACATGCACTGAGACAGCACTCACTCATTGTGCTCACACTGTATTTCCTTCAACAATAACTGCACACATAAAATATCCCTGATCTGAGCCTGACTGGAGGTGGAGTTCAGCCGGCAGGTTTAAGACTTCACTGTGGAAGGTAGGTCTCAATAAAACACCAATATTCAAATTTATTGTCCTCTTTCTTCAAACAGCACTGTGCAACTTTAAAAAAAAAAGTCAATGGACTGTGTTTCTAAGCCCAGATAGGCCGACTCCCCCTCTCTTATCCTTTCACTCTATACCCCCCCTCCCTCTGCAGTTCTGTAGCTTTTCTTCCTCCTCTTTTTCACTCCTGTCCGCTCATTCTGGGCAACAATGGAGAAGCTGGGTTCTCCGGAACCTGCACACCCTTTGCCGGGTCCAGGGCCCGTCACTGGGGTTGTCAAGATGGAGGGGGCACACGAGGATGAGGGGCCAACGCTCGCCAGCTCCAAGCTGTTCTGGTGTGCGTGCGTGAAGCGCTGGCTGCCACCTGCCTACAGAGAAGAACTTTACCACGTCTTGAGACTCACGGGCCCTCTGGTGAGTAGAGCCAAGCTGCAGTGTTGCCTAAGTGCTCTGATAGGAGAGCATAACTTTTTACTGTTTTTTCCCCTTGATGGAAAGTAAATCTGCTGTGCATAATTCAGTTTAACAGTCACTTATGAATTTTATAAAGTGTGCAATAAGTGAAAAATGAGGCTTGCACCTATGAACAAATTAATACTTGGCTCCTGATTTCCAAATGCAGCTTTCTGACTGAGTTTTCCTTGTTTGTTTCTCCAGCTGCTGTCTCGAATCCTGAACTTTCTCTTGCCTTTTGTTATCACCATATACTGTGGTCACATTGGTAACGCAGAACTGGCTGGATTTGCACTTGCATCAGCGGTATGAAATTGTTCTTTGTGGGGTTTTTGTGTCTGCATGCATGTCTGAATGAAGTTGCATAAAGTCTCAGGTAACAGTTTTATTTTGCTTGTGACTAGGCAAAACTTTGAAAGTAACGTATTTTCGGAGGAAATTCTGTATGCATATCCAGCATGTTTTAAATCACGTGCCAAACTCAAGGCCCGTGGGCCAAATTTGGCCCTTGTTAGCATTTTATTTGGCCACAAAGTCAATACTTTTAAATAGTTTTATGGTTTCTCTTTTTGTTATATTCTTCTTATGACAGATGGCCAAACTCCAAGCTGAGAAAATGAAATTTGAATTTTTTTTGTCAAACTTTGATTTTGATGTTGAAAGAACAACAGAGAACTGACTGTAATTATCTTTTTCTTTTTTCTCTTCTTATTTTGAAGTCACTTAATTGGGTTTCTTTTTATAACTGATTTGCTGGATTGTGATAAAACATTTCTCTAAGAAAAAATTAATAAAAAGTTAATGGAGAGAAAGACACAAGAAGTGAATGCCAATGATGTCTTTCTAAATGCAATATTTTTTATTTATCTGTTAGGTTATATGTGTTCTATGCTACACAAAACTTAATTTGGAACAGATCATTCATATTTCTATAAGAATAATTTTTAATATATACATTTTTAAAATAAATATTGTCAGAAATTGACCCCACTGCTTTAAGTCATTTGCAGATGAAAGAGTTACTCCATAAGCCATAAAAAGTTATTTGGATGCTTAATTTAAAGT